ATCAAGTGCACAACTCTCATCTGAAGCTATACATAGCGACTTCCGTCGATTGATGCTTGGCGTTCTTGCACAACATACATCGCATCTCAAAAGCACGTTGTAGCTAGATAGGTCAAAAGTATTTAAAGGTGGAATTCCAATCTCCTGCTAAAATGGGAGGTAGCATACGTCAAAATGGGAAGTAGCATACGTCAGGCAGCTGTTAGTTTCAAAGTACGAAGTCCACAAACCTCACACACCTTTGAGGGGTGCTGAAGGGGAAGCAGAGACACGACGCCCTGGTACTCCAGCATTCAGCATCTCCCACCTTGTAGGCGCCCAACACTGACCAAGCATTTGCATGTAACAATAACAAGGTTGCAGCCATGTCATCCTTTGCCTCATTGCAGCAGGCATTCAAAGTGGTCAAAAGTCTTGGCACCTCCATCTTGTCTCAGCTGTAGCCACACCACATGCATCCCTACCTCAAAAGGTTATTATTCGTGGTGGGTGTGACAACGTTGCAGCTTTCTCAGAAGGTCAATGCTCACAGATTCAGATTCCAAGAGCGGGTCGTCCGCTTTCGCCAGTCAAGCCTCCCTCTAGGGCTACCCACCTAGGCTGGCCACACTACTCATAGAGTCCCAAGATGATACTCCTTCTCCCCACCCACTAATATGCTCTTGATTCATACAATTCACCCTTATAAATCCTTATAAGCCTTATAATAAGAAGAGTCAGAGGTGTTATATACATGGTTTTGCCATTACAATTCCTCATGCCTCGGGACGTTGTCGTTGTTTGGGTCCTGTTCGAGTCTACCCCATGTCGACCCGAGCCGCTGGAAACCACAACCACACCACCGAGGCACCATGGGCAGGTCCATTCCCAAAACGACCCCGTGTCACGAGGCAAGCGCCCGGATGGCCCAGACAGACCTGGCGGAGGGTGGGGGGGGGTAGGGCTAGGGCGTAGTAGGCCTATGTAGCTAGTAAGGGGTCAGTAGCAGCTATATATATATATAGGAAGCTACTACGAATGGACACCGGAAAGCTGACCCTTCTTCAAGGAAGCTCCGAGGGGGGAGCTTCCTTGAGGAAACGATCGCAATATTAGGTTCCTAGATTTCGAGAGAAACTGGGGCTGTTGTGGTGTGTCCTATTCCAAGAAAGTGAACAATTGCAGTAAGCTTTTAGAAGCAGTTGAATTTGTAGTTGCCCACTTGCCTCTCTATCTTTGCCTGGTTGTGCTCAATTGGGCTGGGAACTTGTTCTTTGTTGTTGCTAAGTTTGCATTGGACTTTGCATTGGCACAGATCAAGACGATCTTCTCAATGTCCAACTATACCTGGGTGTGCATAAACTTATATAGGGAGACCTCCCAGTTCGACCCCTGGAAGAAGGAAGATAGACTACAACCCATTGGGCCAGGGTGGACCTCGCCACTCGTCACGGGACTGTTCCAGTCGTCAGAGTCGGCACCGTTTCTCGGGACGGAAACGGTTGAGGTTCCATCGCGATCGACATGAAGTCCGCCCAGGGTGTCAAGGCTGGCGCCAGGTCGTCGCGGAAGCGGCGGATTGGGACGGGAGACATGCGCGGGTCACCAGGGTCACCGGCACCGTCACCACCTTGTAAGTCCGGGCGCCGGCCACGCGCACGTTCCCTTGCCGGAGGCCTTCGGTTGGTAACCGAAGGTTATTTAAGGGCTTACGCCCGACAGCCGGCCAGGGGCCCAAGCAAAGGGCTGGTTGCAGTCGTGGTAGTGTGCGTGTCGTTGTTGTGGTGGTAGTAGTAGTTGTTGTTGTTGTTGTGGTTGTGGTTGTTGTGTGTGTTGTGGGTGGTGAGGTTCTCCAGGTTGTGGTTGTTATTGTTGTCGTGGTTGTTGCTGATGTTGTGATGGTTGTTGTAATGTGGTTGTTGTGCTTGGTGGTGTTGTTGTTGTGGTGGTGGTTGTTCTTGTTGTCGTTGTAGTTGATGATGTTGTTGTTGTGGTTGTTGTTGTTGATGTTGTTGTTGGTGAGGTTCTGGAGGTTGTGGTTGTTCTTGTTGTCGTTGTTGTGGATGATGTTGCGATTGTTGTAGTAGTGTGGTTGTTGTGGTTGGTGTTGTTGTTGTTGCGATTGTTGTTGTAGTGTGGTTGTTGTGGTTAGTGTTGTTGTTGTTCTAGTAGTAGTAGTAGTAGTAGTAGTAGTAGTAGTAGTAGTAGTAGTA